ATGGTGGGAAAAAACCTAGGCGCGACGGGGAGCGCGGCGCGGGCGGCGAGCGCGCGGGCAGCGAGCGCGAGCGACGAGCGACCCGAAACATAAACATAGTATCTCGCGCGTTGCTCCACCTCCCGCTCATCGATCGATTTTTTTAAATGCCTTCCGAGTCCGGCCTACCGTCTCCTGCATCCTCATTCGCTCAAACGTGTAAATTTACTACTCAATAACTAATGTTACTTTGTACCGCAGTACATGATATTTCTCCTTAGTTTAACCCAATCTACTATTTTCAAAGTTGCTACTTTTGCATCAGACACCCTGTATAATATGTAGTAACTTCGTTTATATTTTCGGGTGCTGTCAATTGATTAAATCCTTCAGCCATAATTTCTTTTTTATACACTTAAGTAAAATAATTTAAATTTCAGCGTTGCTTGATCAATTCGCTAAAAGTTGGACTGTGTCGAACTTTGAGCGTTTATTCGCTACATTCGCCATTCTGGCAGGAATTTATGGAGAGGGGGTAAAACGCCAGCTTTTATTCGCTGCGTGAAATTGTGCCTTCATGGAGAATGTATAAGGGTGCTTTCACATGGAGTGTAAATTGCGTAGCGTAACCTGCGTATCACCAATCACAGGATCATGCTGATAGAACCGTTTCAATAATTCCGTTGAACTAGTCCTGTGATTAGCGATACGCAGGTTACGCTACGCAACTTACGCTCCATGTGAATCCAGCTTCATTCTCCATGGTGGAAACCCACCCGCGCGCGGCCATTGATCACGGAGTTGGACGTGGTTGGCTGGCTCGTCCGGGGTTCACGCGAGTGCGCGCAGGGAGTGGATATCGATCGTCCGTGCCGTGATAGCGTCGTTTTCCGCCGTCGTTCGCCGTCGGTTTGCGTTTTCTTCTGTCCACGAGCTACACAGGACTCGCAATCCTGTTCAGGGCCCTCAAAATGGTGAAGATGGAGCACGACGTGAGTACTTGCGCCGCCAAAATCGCCCATTCTGCGAAACGCCGCGGTTCCCATCGACGATTGCACCGTGCCGTGGCACTTCGGCTACGTCGAAGACTCGTCACGATGCCGCGGAGACGACATAGCTCTAACTTTCAGGCTTCGGCGAAGCTTAACGCTCTCGCTCCGAAGTTTCTGGTAAATTATCCCGCGACGATTAAATCAGGATACGTCCGAGTTCTCGGGTAGACGAGTAGATTCGGAGGGGGGGGGGGGGAATCACGGGAATTATTTCGCCGTTGGGATTTCGACTCGGAAAAAAATTTCGCACGTAACAAGGAGTCGCGTACTTATCGTGGAAACGGTCGGCGTTGACTCCGGTCGGAATCGTTGGATTATTTTCGACATTTCTATTGCGCTTTCTCGAGGAGACGGAATAATTCTAAACATTTCCCGCGATAGGTACCCGGGAGTTGGTTCAATTACCATTACTTTTGCATCGCCAGGTCTTGCTTTTACACCGATGCACGTAAATGACGCAGATACGCTTGTCTGGACCTTAAGTGACGAAACTTTGCAAGTTTCCCCGGATAGAAATGTGATAACGAACGCTATTGATCGTTCTCGCTTTAACAAAAAGAAATGCAAGAAGAAAAACGGACGACGGAATGCGATAAATTAATGAGAAGCAATTTGTTAAAGTATTGTTTAATTACAGCCGTTAGCTTCGACAATTAAAGGAATGCGATTAGATTTAGATGCGTAGAACGCAAGTTCGAAAATTTATCTCCTCAGGCGGGCAAAATATCCGAGACTTACGTTCGAAACGATTGATTATCTTGCACGATTAAGAAACTTCAGCTTTTGTAATGTCGTTCGATGCTTCAGGATGGTAAAAACGAACCAGAGCACGTTAGGAAGCTGTTCATCGGCGGACTGGATTATAGAACGACGGATGATTCACTGAAGAAGCACTTTGAGCAATGGGGCGAGATAGTGGACGTGGTGGTTATGAAAGATCCCAAAACAAAGCGTTCGAGAGGCTTTGGATTCATCACCTATTCTCGCGCTCACATGGTGGATGATGCTCAGAATGCTAGGTAAAAAAAGGGGGGATTTATAGGAGATATTAAAAAAAAGGGACTCTTCGATTTTAGAAGCGACTGTTTATTGCGACCAAGGGGTAAACCGCTGAGGGTATTGTGTACAGATTTGTGGCATTACTGGGTATTACCAGGGTTGGGAAAGTTACTTTATAAAAGTAACTAGTTACAGTTACAGTTTTTTTCGCTAACAATGTAACTAGTTACATTCACAAGTTACCAATTCTAAAAAGTAACGCGTTACAGTTACTCGAAAAGTAACGAATCATTACTTTGCAGTTACTCCCTTGCAATAGAAATAAATGTATCAAATCTGCATCTGAATTGTAAAGCGGCGACCTTAGCGGAAAAAATTTCCATAAATAACTACAAAAAATTGGCTTGAAATAGAAATTTGTAGAAATTTTTATATCTTCGTTGAAACATTTATTTCTTCGTAAAAATATCTATAAAATAGTCAATGTTCTCAAATTAAGAAATTATTGCAAGTAGTATTTCATGAAAATGTACAATTTTGTAAAAATTAGTACAAAACTTTACTAGTTTTAAAAATTTGGGAAACAACGAAATCTTAAAGAATTAAAACGTCCGCTTACTTGAAGAATATTGCAAAAATTAACAAGTGTTCCAATTCTGGCATTTTTATGTTGATTTTTATAACACTTTTTTTAATTTACGTAGAATTTCTTAGATTCTGGCAGTTATATTTAATTTTTTTGTAGAATTTTGTAAAATTATTTCCGGCACGGGATAAAGGTGTTTATGCACAAATGCAAGGACTAATGCGATCTGTAGAGGTTGAAAAATATATAAAGTAACAATTAATGTAACTATTAAATTAGTTACTAGTTATCGAAAAAATGTAACTGAATTAAGTTACAGTTACAGATGTAGAGAAAGTAACGAAGTTAAGTTAGAGTTATACCAAAAAGAAGTAACTGTAACTTCGTTACAAGTAACGAGTTACTTCCCCCAACCCTGGGAATTACTAGGCACTTTTTGGGCATTAGTTTGAGTATTAGACCCTGCTGGGATATTAACAAGATAAGATAAGTAACGTGGACAATAAGATAAAGTAATGCCCAGTGGGCATTAGTAGGCATTGGTGTACACTAGGGATCACTGATGCCTCTCCACATGAATTTAGCACATGTCTATACATTTCGTACATTTTGCGTATACACGGGAAATGTGTACGTGTTCTACATGTGCGCAAATTTAAATGGGAAGGCATCAGTAATCCCTAGTGTACATGATCTTGATCAGCGGTTTACCCCTCGATTGAGACGGATAAAGAAAACACTTGATATATAAATGAAGAAGTCAATCTCGTCGGAGATACAAGTATCTGACTCGGTAATATAGAGCTCGCTTGTGTTCTTGCTTGAATTCGTATGATTTTTCTCCTCACATAAGTCCATTCTTCCGTTCGCCCCGCGTGTGAAAGTACAAATGAGAGTTGGTAAAGAGTAAACTTCTTGCAGACCTCACAGAGTAGATGGTAGGGTGGTCGAGCCTAAGAGAGCGGTTCCCAGGCAAGAGATTGGCCGTCCGGAAGCGGGGGCTACCGTGAAGAAACTTTTCGTAGGTGGCTTGAAGGACGACCACGAGGAGGAAGACCTCAGGCAGTATTTTCAGAGTTACGGCAGCATAAACTCGATCAGCATAGTGACCGACAAGGAGACTGGCAAGAAACGTGGCTTCGGCTTTGTTGAATTCGACGATTATGATCCTGTCGACAAGATCTGTTTACAGCGTAATCACCAGATTCGCGGCAAGCATGTTGATGTCAAGAAGGTGAGAACACTCGTTCTCAAAGATGGTTTACCGTGCAAAATAAATGCGTTAATTTCCACAAGAAGTTACGAAAAATAATTTTGTGACGTTTTCTAGAGTCTTTTGTTCTTTTTTCTTTCTACTTTTTTTGTTCAATGGTTCTTGTAGAATATTAATAAAATATTAAAAATTTGGAGAACATTTTGAGAACTGAAAATTGTCCGATCGTCAAGAAATTAGAAATCTAGTCGAAGACAGAAATGACTTCTTATCTTAATCATATGGAAGAAGTATTTACTTTTGTATAAATTCAAGTGTTATTTCTCATCAGTCTTTTTCGTCAGTTCATCTATTTCTTTTCTCACTTTATGCATAAAAATATTCAGCCAGGATTATCGAAAAATAAATTTTTCCCGTAATATTTCAGATGTTTGTACCGATATGCTTTTATATAAGGTACAGAATACTCTGCCGCAGCTTGTTCCTTCCATTTTCCACAGATTACACGTCGAATGATTTTGATTATGATAATTTTTACCATAGGCTTTAAGCAGAGCGGAAATGGCGTCCGCTTCCGGAGGCGGTGGCGGCGGTGGCGGCGGCAGCCGCGGTGGCCAGGGTGTAGGCAGGGGACCTCGCGGTGGTAACCAGGGCGGCGGTAGCTGGGGAGGGCGCGGCAGCGGTGGTGGTGGTGGTGACTGGAACAACGGTGGTAATCAAGGTGGATACGGTGGAGGTAATCAAGGAGGTTGGGGGGGTAATGGACCTTGGGAGAATCAAAACCAAGGTGAAGGTTTGCAGACAATTTTTGTTCTCTACTCCTCTTAGAACCGAATTGATCCTCGCGTCAACGTCGCTCTTTAACAATACTGATATTTGCAAAATTGGCTTGTAACTGCGCGAGTGAACTTTTAAGCTCTCTCAATTTGTACCGGTAAATTAATTGTTCAAGCAGATCTCATATTATGAGATGTTTCTTTTCACTTTGACTTCGTGAACGACTCTTTGCGACGTCAAGCGAGGGTCAAGTCGCGGCGCGCTTTGACTTTGCATCTGTGTTTTCTACTTGCGTTTTCAGCGCTTCGCTTGTAAACATTATTAGAGCAAGAAAAACGAAGGCGAAGCTTCACAGAATGTGAACCAAAATTAATACAAAAAATAAAATAATTTCTATATCGAAAAGTAGAAATATTATGTCGTCTGTAATGCAGAGTCGAATCGCACAATGTTATTATCTCGAGTGCAGAAGGATACTGATTATTGCGTTTTAAATAGGTGGTGGCTGGAATCAAGGCGGACAGGGTGGCTACAACAGCGGCGGTAATTGGAGCAATGACAACTTCGGTGGTGGTTATCAGCAAGGTTACGGGGGCGGCCCAGTGCGCAACAATTTCAATTCGGGTGGCAGATCAGCTCCATACGGCATTAATTCGGGTCCCAGCGGACGTCAGTCTGGAGACTCAAGATGGTTACCGCCGTTCAGCGGACAAGGTTCTCCTCCTTAAAAATCAACGACACGATCGTCTTTCTATTGACCTTTTTATTCGTTGAGCTCAGTTATCTGCATACTGAGATGTAAAATATGAAAATTCTTTGTCTCGATCGAATATGACAAATAATGATTTAATGAAATGTTATAAAAGTTATGTAATTCCTTTGGCAAATGTAATTCCTTTGTTGTCGCGAATATTATCGTTTGAGTATGGAATTTATGAACAATCGTTTCCGCTGTAACCGATAGTCCTGTTTTCTTTGTCTCGCGACGCCGCAGGTCCTATGGGTGGTGGAAATTCCGGCGGCGGTGGGGGATACGGTAATCAAGGTGGTTACGGTGGCAATTCCCTCGGAGGTGGAAACATGGGTGGCGGCGGTGGTGGAGGAGGAGGCGGCAGTGGAAGGAGATATTAAGATAACATTGAGCATATCGCTGACCCTTCTCGCTGGTAAGCAAAACCATAATTATCTCAGTATAATAATTATCGAGTCGCTACTTTGAAACCGTCCACTCAAATTTGCGGCGAGATTCCACAAATCCGGAAATGTCGAGTTACCTCTCACAGAATTTTTAGGTATATGCATCACTGAATGGTACGGACATTTTAATTTCCTGCTTCATAGATATACATATTTGTAAATGTCGATATATTATGATTCATATATTTGACAGACAACTTCGACACACATAGACCAGTTTATTTTCAATAATATCAGTTTGTTAATTACTTAAATTTATCAAATTATTTCTTATAATTACTTACTATTATAATAGTTTACGTCATCTTGCTCATATTATTTAGGATGTAATTAAAAAACTACGACACATATACATGTATCTATGATTTATTGAGAGACAAATCTTGAAGAAAGCAAATGAGGACATGAAAATTGCTTCATTGACGATATAGATATACATATACATACACACCTAATTTTAGGACTTGTGCTAACGATACAATTAGAACGCAAAGTCACATCTTTTAGTCAGTGTTGCATACTAATATTCGCTACATCATTTTTCTAGCGTGACTATAATTAACAGTTATTTGGCAATTCAGTGGCGTTCTTTATTTCTTGTTTTTTATTTTACAAGTAGCACGTTTTCGAGCAAAGTTTAGAAGTTTAGATCAGAGGAATAGCATTACTTTCATTTTACATATGCGTGTATTCAGGATGATGATTAGTTATTTTGTTATAGTCTGATAAGAAGCGATGAAGGGTTTTTCTGGAGGAATTTACTTAATATCAGTATTCACAATTATAATAATACACAAATCTATGTATTAGGACCTCTAAGGGTCTACAGGATCAAGGATTTAAGAATCTCAGGATATCATACGCCGAGAATTTAAGAATCCAAGAATTTAACAGTACAGAGATTGGGTCTTCTAGATCTTTGTGGAAAGAAGATTTTTGTCAAATCATGTATTTTTTAAACTTTAGCAAAACAGTCTGGATATGGAACACTTTCCAATTTGAGAGTTTCCTTTAAAATTTGATATTCCGAATCTAACATAATGAAGTCCATACACAAGAAGAAAAGATATCAGTACCTAAAAATTTTGATATAGGACACTTATTTTAATCTCAAAATCTGGAAGTTTCAGGAATTTGGATAGTTCAAAAATTTCTAGAAGTGTTAAAACATTTTTTTAATAATACGCTATCTGCTATCTAAAAATTCCATCAAGAACTTGGAAATTTAAAATTCACCGAGAGATGCGTGTGGAAATAGGACTTTTAAATAGTAAAAATGTAAATAATCCAAAATTTTTCAGGAAACGCAAGTGATTTGATATTCTCAAATTATCCATAGTTATTCGAAATTAAACAAATCGAAGAAAATGTAGGACATTCGATTGTGTAAGTCGAAAAATTCTTGGACTCCAAGAGATGTCTTTGCAAATCTAGAGCTTTAAAAAGATCCCAAGATTCGGAAATTCCTTGCTCACGACCCAATCGGTCTTTTGCACAGGCTAAGGAGTTTAACTAACAGATTTCTTGACTTTTGAACCTCAGGTGAAGCTACTACTCCTACTACTCCTACTTGTCTTCTAGTCGCCAGTACTTCTGTACTGTTTAGTATTGGAGCAGGCAGGCAGGCTATCAGGCTAGAGAGACAAGGCAACGAACAGGCAGAAACTCAAAAACAGTCAGGAAGTCGGTCAGGCAGGCAGGACAATCAGGATACAGGACAGAGAAAGAGAAAAAAAAACCATCAGTTAGCTCGCAGTGAGAGGCTTATACGCCTATTCTTTTTTAATCTTGCGTCCAGTTTCTCCCTTTCTTCTCATTGTAAAGAGTCGTATTATCGTTCAAATGTATTTTTACGTCCGTTACAAAGACTTGCGCGTAAATATTCAGTAGACAGGCAAAACAGTTTTATTCATATATACAGGAAGATAATTTATGTTAGGAAAAATAAGAAGAAGAGAGAAAGATATAGTGCGTACATGTAGCGATAAAAACGGCAAGAGAAGAGTATTCGTCAGCGTTTCGTAGGAACTAATTAGGACTAATTAATAGGAAATAATCTAGTTTACGAAGCTGTATAATTGTTTAAGCATTAGTTGGCTTAAATAAAAGAAAACCTTTTCTTTATTATGTCTTACTTTTGCGAGGTCAATAGGCTGTAAGCTCAGACGAAACTACTGCGGAGGGTCAGAATAAACCAGCTAAACATTATCGCTCAGAGTATCTTTCACGTGCAACTTCGAAGTTTCCATACTTAAACAAGCAAAATGTATATAAAATACAGTTCTTTATAAATCGCATAACTTTATAAAACAGGCAAGATGTATATAAGATGCAATTTATATATATATTGTCATACGAGTCTCATAACTACGTAATTTTTTCTTCGAAGCTGCATAATAAAATTATTCAAGATAACAACAATAGATCAGGATCATCTTGTACGTGTTGAAGGAACAACCTTTGTAGGACTTGTACAATAGATGAAAAAGAAACAAGGAACGAGGGAAAAGGCAGAAATAGATGTACTGTCGACTGTGTAGTCAATGAAAAAGAAAAGAAAAATACCACCGATACCTCGAGGCGTCAATGTTCAAATATGTATTCGCAGTATTAAATCATTTGTATAGTACGAAAACCCCATTCCCAATCTTCTGTAGTTTTTGTTTTTTTTTATTGCAAAGAATGTTACGAACGAATCTTGTGAACTCATCGTCGCGATCGTTTGTCATAGAAAAAGATTTATGCTCTAAATAGCGATAGACTATATAAATATTTCGAACAATTTGGAGTATATATCTAGAAGATTGTGAATCACTTTGAATATTGCTTAAAATTAAGAATTCTTAAAGCACCTTGAGAATTTTGAAGGAGAAAACGAGAGAAATTAATTTTACTTTACATTTATGTGTTATTTATATTTGCGTGGATAATTATTTATTTTAACAGTTACTATTAATGATGATCTTAATTCTAATTGTCTAAAAATGTAGAAATTTTCAAAAACTTGGCAGATTCTGAAAGAGTCTACAATCTCTCCCGAGGCTTTCAAAATTTTCGAGACTTCCAAATTAATTTTTTTAATATCGTTCATTTTCTCAAAAGTTCCCCGAAATTTTTAAGAATCCTTAATTACGGGAATATCTAAATTGATTATATAATTTGATTTGAAATTTTATTGCTCGAGATTCTGCTAAGGAAAAAAAAATAAAATTCTCATATACTGCTAGTAATAAATCTGTGAAGAAAACAAAATTCTTTAGATATCAAGATTCACATACTCATCTGGTTCAAGTGTTTATTACCTGAAGCATAATTTTCGAATCTCATCCTCACATCCCCCAAATCAGCTCTTCACTCTTCTAGTAGAACTAGAGCGACGTTGAAAGTGCTAGAGTAGTCTCTAGTTAGTCTAGTGCAGTTTGGATTTTTAACTTACAATTAGTGACGAAGATTATCAGCTTAAGAGCCAGGAAGATGCTAGCAGATAGCAGAAAGAGCGAAAGAACAAAGAAAGAAGGGAAAAGGCAAAGATAACAGAGAGAAAGAGAGGATTCTCAGGCTGCGACAGACAGAACTAGTGTTTACTAGGCTTTCCATTCTAGCCTCTGTTATGCAATCACAGGTAGGAATGTTTCGACTCATTTGCTTAGATATACATATATAACACGTATAAATGTACATATACATATTTATAGGGTGTTAAATGGCAACAAGTGTGTGCATGACATTGCAGTCTTATTTTACAGTGTTTTTTGGCGACTACGTTGTGTATCTGGTGCACTGTATACCAGATTTGTTGTTATTAATAGAGAACTTGCGAAAGTCTGATGAGTGAAAAAGAATCGGTAGAATTTGCTTGAAAATCGAACAAGTTTCTAATATCTCAAACCTTTTGTATTAAAAGTTTTGTCGTGACACGTTGCCTTAATTATATGTAGAGGAAAAAATAGAAAGACATTAATAATAAAGTATCCGCAATTTAATAAAAGCATAGACGTAAAAAGGGAAAATAAATTTGTATTGTAACACGTTTTAATTTTTATATTAAATTTGTATTATAATTTAAACATCTTCTATTGTTATTAATAATAAATTGCAATTAATTTATTTTAACTTATAATTTATACGAAATATCTGGCTAAATGTATGCCAAATTCTAATGCAATTTTAAGAAAAGAATGTAAGCTATAAAAAAAATTTTTTAAACATGTTCCGTACAGTACATGCCACGATTACGAAACCCAACACGTGAAACATCAAGCGAAACACTGCCGATTCCATTAAATTCATCTTCCTTTCGCAAAGAAAGTTTTAGGCTGAACAGGAGGTACATTTTCGTTCGTATAGCTGTTGCATCGTTGCTGTTTTTTATATTTTTCTTCTCTCTTTTTTTTTATCTTCACCAGTGTTCATGTGTACACAGGGAGTTTCTCTCTATGAAAATATATCGCTTAGAAATGAGGAGAACTCTTTGAGAGATGTTGCGCTTTTTGTATCGCCGTCCGAAGATCTCTAGGGATCCGCATGTTACAAATGTACAGCATAGTTTCAAGAATTTTGAGTCTTAGAAAACAAAGTTAAAGTCTTACTCGTCGCGGTTGAGCAGACAGAATTTTATTCTGCAATATATTGTTGCGCGAATACACTTTCAGAAATTTATAAATTAGATCTTTATATGTATCCCTTTCGGAATTTTTATGTCTACTCTTTTTAAAAGTTTTTTTCAAGTTACAGCATTCTACGTTTAAGGTGCAATATTTTCATCGTGTATTGTATTATTAGAAGATTGAAGGAATCACGCTACCATAAACCCCTTGCTACGAGATGCCTAGGATACCAATTACCAGATCTGATATTCAAAATGTTAGCTTCACATAGCTCTTTGTCACTTGAGACTCGTACGAGAATAATTGACTTATAGATACACTTTAATATTGATCTATCGGTATCCATGATCTAGGAAATCGAGATTCCCGAAGGATCAGGGATAACCGTGCAAGAATTCCTTGTGGCGATAAAGACTCAATTCTTTAACCGAAATGCCGAGTTAGAGAGACCAGGCCTTTCAGAAAGAAACGAATTTAACAAACGAGTTAGCGAGATCTAACGACTGACGGAGTTGTCGAAGAAACTTTACTGCTCTCAAGACTCATATAATACATTACGGAGCGATTGAGATTTCAGAAATTGAAATCGCGAGTAGTAAGATTTATTGGAGGAAACAAATTCAAATGCTTGTGAGTTGATTCTCAATGTTCATTGTCCCGTTGAAATCTGTGATTGATCGGCCGTGTCCTCACCTAAAGCGCGATAGACATTCTCACTTGATTTAATTAAGTTTTCTTCTCGCGATGAGCAGGCAGGGCGTTTGTTACTGAGACTTCTTTTTACTTTCACTGTATTAATTGCTGTCTTTCGTTTTCATTAATTTCTGGTTTACCATTCGGGCTGGTACTCGACGAGAGCGATGTGCCTGTGCCGCCGTCCTTCCGAGGCCGCCGACTGAGGTAAGTTCAAAAGTAAGTGATCTATGCATTTCTATGCGACCTACTTTTTTTTCAAATTGCTTTGAGTGTTAATCGAGATCAGGTGATTTTGAGAAAATCTAAGGAATCTAAGTTTCCAAAGGTTCCAGAGTCGAAGATTGAGAAAGAAATATTTCTAAAAATTAAGACTATTAATATTTTAAGGTAGAATTTACGTCTTAAAAAATTTTAATTTTAGTGACGTCCATCTTAGGGATGTGCAGTTTATATCCTAGCATTGAAAAAAATTAAATTATTACGAACCATAACATTACTCTGTATGTGTTGTCAAAGGGAACAACTTCAAATTAATATCGAAAATTGATTTACTACCACTTTGCTAACGTTCAATTTGCCTCTGAAATAATTAATTTTTTAATCTCTCTTGGATCGGATGGAATCTTGGAATCTCTCGGAGCAAAAATTCTTGCATTTACAGTTATATAAGATTTTAAGAATTGAAAGATTCTTAAACGAGTCCGTAAAGATCCTAAAAATTAAGAAACCTGGGATTTTTTTAGGATATAATAAGAATATTGTATATATATTTTAGATTGTAACACTATTTTTACACATTTAATAAACTTTTGTTTTTAGTCTACAGAGCTGTTTTTTCATTCTCCTCCAAACTCGCGAAATACATGCGATTGCAAATTGTACTTGTGCATCAACTATTGAAAATTATTTCAACTTAGTTATAATGCATTGCAATAATTATATGAATTGTTTGCGAGACGTAACTAAAAAGATAAGAATTAAAATTGTATATCTTTTTGCAGTTTCATGTATTCTCATTATCGATTAAGCATTAATTACAGATAAAACATGCTCAAATCTTATTATAATTATTATATAATTAATAATTGCAACTCTATACGTTACGTTACTATTATGATTAATTGTAATTGGATTGACTTTTCGGTGATAATTTAACGTTTATATTAACGTTTCTCATTTTTCAAAATCGTTTTCAAATCGATTTTACTCCCGGCGTGCGAATTAATAGCAAACAAGAAAAATGGGAGGTAAGTTTATAAACTAATTTCACTATTTCAATGATTTAACTTTGTTACCAAAAAATGCTAATCTCGAAAGATGCGATTCCAAGCGAAGCAAATCTTGATCGGGAGTCTGTTTTACTGTTTCTTGTTTCTTGCGAAAGTTAACATTTAAAAGTACATAACTTTTTCAGAACTTTAAAAAATTTTCGTTTTGTACCTGTTAGCAATAACGCAAACAAGGTGCATTTCATTAAATTTATTCGATACTAAACCAACGTGCATTTTTCGTTTGTACATTTAATTACTGATTTCGAGAGCGTTCGAGTGCATTTCTCAATTCTAGCGACGAGTGTTGGTAAGATATTTATATGAGGCGTTGCCGTATTTTTTGCGTTATCTTTGTCTTAATATTGTCTCAATATTGATAGTTTTTTTACATAGTATATTGTTCAAATTTTACCTCTTCAACAAAAATGTGGTTTTAAAGATAATTATTGTTACTTTGTTTAAAATGTTTACTAATTTTATGAGTACTAATTTGTATAAGATATTAAACGTATCACACAGAATCTCATTATTAAAAAAATGTCTCGGTATCTTAAAATAATGAGATTTTTGCGGCAGTGATATAATGAAGATATTAGAAGTGCTGTTCTGACTGTACACAAAAGCATAGGAAAACATCAAGCACCAATATGGTAATTTTCAAAATTTTACAGCAGAAACTTTATTCTGGAAGACTAAAAATTCTTCGGGCATCTCGATCTTCCGTTCCACGTAAATAATGAACGAGGGTTGAAAAGGCAACAGTTTGAGAAACTCTGAAAACTAGGTTACTCAATAACGACTATATTTACATATTGCCTAGTATTGTACTGAAAAGTCAACTGAAATTAAAGAAACAACTAGAAGGAAAGATTTTCTGAGGTAAACAGATGTGTCTTTTGCAGTTATCGCTTATCGCTATTGACGCCAGGGAAAGTATTTGTAATGTCTCATCTCTTCGTGCACGCTGAAAACGGATTGTTGAAACTGCCCCTGTGTCGCATAATTACATAGAATAGAAAAGAGAGAAATGAACTTATTGTCAGACATGTACCTTAAACGAACATGTCTTAAGTGAACCGCCCGTTGGATTTAATTAAGTCGTCGACACGAGATTCGGCGGATTGTCGGACGTCTCGCTGCCACTGCTGCTGTAACGCGGCTGATTCTTCAAAGACGAGTCGACGACGACGGAGCTGCCGGAGATGCAGGAGTGATTGGTCACCGAGCCGTAGGTGTCCTTGTACAGACAGAGGCCGCAGAATCCTGTCGCGTTGTAAAGCGGCAGATTCACCAGGCCGTTCGATACCGCAAAGTTTCTGCAAGCCACAATGAGATTCAACAACAAAGTTACGGCAATTGTTGCGACGAGTGGCGATTATAAGTTCAATACTTTCCAACCGTGTAGAAAAATTGCTTCCGTCTGTAAAAAAAAAAGTAATTCGGGGAGATTATAAAAGAGAAACAATCAACGTGGCCGGTGTTTCCATTTGCCTGAAGTAACCGCCTTTATTCGGCGAAACATTAGGGGGAGAGCGGAATCGTTACTTAAACTGTGGATCGCGTGTCAGCCCTCACCGCTCGTTTACGCTCCAAATATCTGGTTGGTTATATTAAATGAAGACTGCTATGAGATGTTCCGGTGTTGAGATCTCAGCTATTTAGAATGTAATCGAGCCTTTTATAATATAATCTAACAAACGACTTAAAACGCATTCCACATTCCCATTTTTTAAATCACCCCGTGAAATTTTACATTAAAACGAGAAATCCCTTACGATAATTCGACGCAACTCCTTCATTTTTACCGTTTTACCATTGAAAAAGATTATTTTGAGGTTGCTCCTCTTCGTCATTAAAATATTGAACCTCAGGAAGCGACGTTTCTAACGTTGAACATTCAAATGCCACAACGATTGAGTTTAGAATAAAAAATTCATCGTCGGACGGAGATTCTAGCAGAAAAAAGCCGATCAAAGTAAAACTCTCTCCACTCGATTCTCAGAACTCCCCCCCCCCCCATCTCGTAAATGTCTCTTAATATTTTTTTTTTGCGGAGCAAATTGAGACCGCGGATCGGAGATCAGGACGGCGGTGCGTCCCGTGAATGCGCGCGAGGGTTGCGACAAGTGGATGAGAAAATCCACCGCGGTTAGCACGGGGGATGCATTTATCCGTCGTTTATCCGGTTTATCGAGCGTCAGGTGCATATCGACTGAATAACACCGGGGCCACTCCCGGCGAGTGGCAAGGGTGGCGAAGGAACGAAGGAAGGGGGTGGGCGAGATTCGGCGGACCCCCCGGCGTACGCGACGCTCACGGCTCGACCGGGGTTGATACGCCGATGTGATACGCCGCTAAATAGCCTTAAGTGGGATTACGTCTCCGCTATTGTGATCCGCGGCGCGAGGAGGAGGAGCTCATACAAATTTCGGTCTTTGTGCGGCGCCGGGGCGTTCTCGCGGCGTCATCCCCTCGCCCTCGCCCTCACCCTCGCCCTCGCCTCGCATTACGCGGAGGATGCCGAATTCATCGGGCAACGTCTCTCCTCCGGACCGCGCCGGCCGTGTTCTCCGGAATAATTGTTCGCGATGGGATACTTAGGGCTTGATTTCGGGCGAGGTGGTCGGGGCGGTTCGCGCGATTTCGGGTGTTAACAGGAGTTATCCGAGTCCCGTCGTGGTCGTGGAAATTTTGCAAATTGAAGAATCCGCGCGACGCAAAACGCCCGGGGTCACTCGAGTGTGATTTTATACCTTGCAATATCTTGTATCTCTCTCCGAATTCGTACGGTCAAAGAGGGGGCGATTTTTCGTGAAGAAATAAATAAGCCGCGAGACGAAGATATTAAGAATAGATTAGCCTTTATCTGGGAAGCACGTCTATTGTTAATTTCTCGATTTTCAAAATTATGAAGAATCTCAGTTTATTTTTACATTTTATTTTTCCCACGCGAGACATCGTCCCCTGTCGGTTGCACCGAAACAGTTCTCTGAGATTGCCTGTATGTAATAATAAATTGTTAAATGTAATTCGTTTAATTATAATTCTCTTCCGACATTTCTCGTAACCAAGTTCCTGATTTTGAACGAAACTCGTTGATTTTGAGAGCTTTATCTCGCGTTAACTTGAAATCTCTGAAGTAAGATTCAAGTCGGAGAAATTATATATCCGAGCACTAATTTTGCGTTGCGTCGGGAATTAGAAAAATTCTAAGAACAGCTGATGAACCTAACGGCCGCGCGTTAATAGCCACATTGAAGGCACGATACATCACGCTGACAAGATAACAAATCGACTGGATGCATCATGCGTGGGATGCAAGGATGTGGGACGTATGCGAAAATCGCCATATGTTCCATATGGTCCTCTCAGTTTTCCCATGCCAGTTTCGACGAGGAGAAATCAGACTAGCGTGGCTCGAGTGGCTTTGAGAAATAATACAAGCAGTAAATAAAATCCTAGAGGCTTAAGAGAGGATTGTGGAAGATCGATTTGTCCTTCGCATCTCTTTAAAGTGTAAAACACATTTATGGAACACTCGGAAGAAACTTGCTACAATCAGGGGCTCAATTCTGTACTCGGCTACCGACCACTATCGATATCGTTCATGACGTTTGCGCAGCTTTTTTACGTAATAGAAAAACTGCGTATTTCATTAAAATTTGGAATAATTTTATTCCTTACATTCGCCGCTGGATTCGCCTTGTTGAAGTTTTTCGTTTCGATCCTATTTTAGTATTCGGTAACTCCAGAAATCTTTGACCATAAACCAGATATACTCTTCTCAGAAACATCGAAAGAGACTTAATCATATTATTATCTTGGAATACCAATTTATGCAAATGTCAATGAAGGAAGTCGAAAAAGTATACTCGTACTATGCGGATTATTCTACAGTTTAGTAAACAGGAAGCATGCATGGTAGCTAAAATAATAATCAGATAATCATGACTTGTACCGTGATTTCGAGACATTTCACTGTCGTTTTAAAATATTTCCACGCGATTCTAGAAATATCTTAAATCCTAGACTTTTTAGGAATGCATAAATGTTTAACAACTGTATCACGATCTGATTAAAGATATAAAAAGAAACGGGATTTCTAAACGACAAAAAATTTAGGAGAACGAACTTGTTTAGTGAGAAAATTCAGAAAGACGCAGATTACATTTCAGACGCAATCTCTGTCTTTAATGGTGCAATCTCTAAGGTATGATCTGCGGAAGAAAATGGACAAAGTATAAGAGAACTAAAGTGAATGAGTACCGATACTGTTGGTCTAGCTGCGCCTTTTCGATTCTTTTGTCCTTGGCGCGCCTGTTCTGGAACCAGATTTTGATTTGCGTCTCGGTGAGTCTCAAGGAAGTTGCGAGCTCGAATCTGCGCCCCCTCGAGATGTACTCTCCCCGCCGATACTCGACTTCCAACCTCAGTGTCTGTTCGCCGCTGAATGTCGTCCTTTGTCTTCGCGGCCGGCCCTCTTTCCTTCTTCTACGCGCCACTGCGAGGAAAGAAATACAAATCTCCGGGGACACGGGATTTCTTCTACAATTAGACGTCTGTCAAAATTTATTCGCGCGTTGTACATAATAGCCACGCAATATTTTTATAAAAAATAATTAAGTATCTGTAACAGTTTGTACAAATATCCATTTTAGTTGGCGCGATTTGGTGATATTATTACTTTTGTAGAGAAGACAAAAATAATTTTTTTGAAACATATCTAAATTCTTGATCGGACGACGCTTATACTTGGCGTCTTTTTTTAAAAAAGGTTATTTCTTTAAGGTGACAAACACTTACGGTAAACTATTTTCGATGTTATCTTTAAAACAGAAACTGAGATTCGGGAATAGCCAAGAAATGAGATAGAATGAAGATGGAATGGAATAGATGACTCTATAGCTCGCTTTGATTGTACCAATTTGACATTTTCATCAGCGCGAAACAATTGAAACGATTACATAAAGAAGATTCTCTCGTTCACGGGATTCTTCTAAACGTTACAATTAATTTATAAAAACGAGCATTAAGTTACCGCAACATCGAGAACAGTATTGATTACGCACCTCTCGACAATTGAAAGATTTGGATACACGCGCGTCTCTCATAATTTGCTTTCTTAATACTTCAATTTGATTCTGATCCCGGTCGTTTTTCAGCGCGCTTGGTAGGGATTCGTGAAATAAATCTGGCCATGGTGTAATTTCATCTTCACGATGGAATAATTAGGATGTACCGAGCAGGGGAAGGGGAGAAGAAAGAGAGCGATATCGGAAATTGAGGCTTCCCGAGGCTTCGCCCAATCTGGCGTAAAGCGGACACGAGATACTAATTGCTCCTTGAACCTCATAACCGCTTCAAGCAACTCGATAGATCCGCGCGATAGGGGTTTCGAGAAAAATGTGCGATAGGAAGATTCCTTCCTCTCAAAAAGGAAGCAAAAATATAAAAAACTAAGCCGCAGAGCAAGTCAAACAAGGAGACTTTGTACAAAAATAATACAAAGCATCTGTATCGCTTCCGGTTATTTGGAGTTGTGGAATAATCGCGCTAAAAGAGACCGACTTTGAGAAAAATGCTATTTTTGAAGGCCAAAGCAGCTACCTTAAAGGGAAGCGTCACAGGAGAGACGTTCGAAGTAAAATTGCAGTAACTACTTTGCTTCTAGTTCTCAGCCCACCAATCTTGGGATTTTAATAATGCCGACTGTCACACGCTTCAGAGAGCGATTGAAATAAAATAAAAAGACAATC